TCCTGCCCACCCCCTCCCCACCTCAGTCACTCTGTTCCACCCCAGTGGCCTCCTCCACCTTCCAAGAAGCCACTGCACTTGCCTTGGGGACCAAGCTCACTGGGTCCCCCCCTTTTTTAATAGTTATTTTTGACAGAGAGAGTTAGGGAGGAGCAGAGAGAGAGGGAAAGAGAGAATCCCAAGCAGACTCCACGCTGTCAGTGCAGAGCCGGACTGTGTCACGAATTGTGACATCATGACCTGAGCCGAAGTCAAGAGTTGGGTACTTAGCTGACTGAGCCACCGAGGCGCCCCCCCAGTGGGTCCCTTTAACAGAACCTTCTGCCGCACTGCATTCCCAGCCCTGCCCCGAGGCCAGATTCAGCACCTGGACACAGGACGCCAGGCTGTGCAGGCATAGGAGTGAGCCACAACGCGGGGGTGCTGAGAGGGCCCGGGGGTGTTCCCAGGGCCCCCTGGAGTCTTGGTGGGGCAGCTCGAGAGGCCTGGATTCCTTCAGACAGTGACCCTGATCCAGCCAGGACTCAGTCAGCCAACAACATTGCTGACCCTTGGAGGAGGGCTTCAGGGTGGAGATTCAGGTGCCAGAGGGAAGCTCTGTGTCACTGGCGGGGCTGCCCAGGGACTGAGGGACCCAGATGCTGTGGTCACCACCCAGGAGTGGGTCCCCCTCTTCCCAGTAACACCCAGAGTAAGGTGAGGCCTGTGTGGGTACTGCTGGGATGCTTCGTGCCGAGGACACACTTACTGGCTCACTTGGGGAGAGGTACAGGTCTTACCTGGATCCTCCTCGCCTCCTGGGCCTTGACCTTCTGGCTGTGCTTTGGTCCAGGAGGTGGGAAGGTCAGGTGGCTAATTCCATCCCGGCAGGGCCCCTGTGGGCCCCGCTCTAGGGTGTGGCCCAAGGCCCTGGGGGGTGGGGTGCAGGGGCAGCTCCTTCTTAGCCAGGGTTGGAGGCCTGCCCCAGGGCACCCAGAGGTCTCCGCAGCCAGGCCTGTGCACAGCGAGTGCACCCCACGGAAGACGGGGGTTCGGCATTCCGTAACTTCGCGTCGGCGGCTGGCAACCAGCCTGAGTTGGGAGCACATCCAGCACAGCGAGCGCCAAAACCAGGCTTTCTTTCCTTTGTTGTTTTTCTCCCCTGTCAGCTCACCGCTGCTTCCAAGGGCTCCCGCTTGGGCTGGGAGTGAACACAGAGGCTCTTGCAGAGGACAGCCTGGGTCATATCCACGGCCTGCAGGAACCTTGGACCCGCCAGCGAGGGGATGAGGACGAGGACCACCCCTCGACGGCAGAGGCCAAGCCATCCTCTGCCCCTCCGTCCAGCCACGGGACCAGCCCCAGGCAGGCCAGCCCTGCCTGCGCACCCACGCGCTAGCTGAAGTTGTTTCCGGCCTCGGTGCTGGGCGTCACGACAGGTGCTGAGAGGAAGGAGGCAAGGCTGTGTGCTCACCCAGCTTCTGCTCCAGGAGGGAGCCGATGCCCAGGAGACAGCAGATGGCAGCAAGTGCTGTGCGGAGACCAGCACACAGACAAGTGACAGAGACCCAAGGGTTTCGTTAGCGGATGTCTAAGCCAGGCCTCCGGGGGTATGTGGGCTTCGGGCTGAATTGACCCCGTGTCATCCTGACAAGTGCTGGGAAAGCTGGGTGGGGGGCTGCATTCCCAGCAGAATGGAAATACTCCCGAGTCCAGCGTGGGGGAGGGCCGGGTGCACCAGCGCACCTGTCGGGCAGCATGACGCACACAGTGGCCACGTTACTAGTGGGTGAGTGTGGGGCGGGCCCATGTGCTGAGGTCAGGAGATTTGGGGAGGACTCAGGCTGGGGGCCTGTAGGAGCCTCACCTGGGGGAGGCTATGACCTGGTGGGGAGCCAGAGTTTGGACAGGGTGGGGCACAC